TTTTCTGACTTGCGACGTTTCGCAAAGACTGCGCAATCTGAAGAAGTGGAGTGCCTGGCGACGGCATTGCGACATGTAGGATTATTTATTTTCGCCGAAACTGCATGCCTGTACTTATCTCGAAGATGAGTTATCAAGATCAGGCTCTCACGGCTGTGAAAATGACGATATTAATTTTGCGACTGACGTCATGAAGATGGAGACGATTCTCCGTTCACTGCCGAGGTCCTAACATCTCGAGCTGATATGGCGTTGCTAAATAACACGCAGGTCAACGACGTAGAACGAGCTTGGTATTTTTTTAAAGATAATGTGTGGACAGAACAATGCAGTAAGAAACTTTTGTTTTGCAAACCTTTCCCTGCTAGGAAAGACGTATTTTCCACAGAAACAGAGTCAACTTATCTGGACGTCTTTGTCGTAGAGCAGGTGCAAATGCACTCCGCTGTTATCGGCACTTCGAGTGATTGAACTCAGATAAGATATGTAATCGACGTTTTCGAAATCATATTTGGTAAGACAGGGTTAACACATCGTCTTCCTTTCGAAATGAGGTCCTTGATTCGGCCGCTCTCTCACACAGATGGACCACATGACGCACGCGACATATGGCCACTTTCCCTTGCTACATACTTACCTCTGTCGGTCATCGCTGACTCTGGTGGGTGCGTGGTTTAAGAGCATTCCTGAAGTGGCGATCAGTTCGCGCTACCAGAAACCTACGTCCTGGAGCAATTCCTATGACATCAGAAGTTTGTGGGAATCGGATGAAGGCTTGAGCATTTTCTCCGTAGTGACGCATTCCCACTCGTCGGTTCGCAGTTGTGACAAGTCGTCGTCTTCCGTTCCCAATCTGAAGCTTCGTTACGAAATTTTAATGCCAGGTCAGGTACGGGTTTGCTTCTCCTCTCGTGGCTTTTAAGCCGTGTCCGCTGATTTCTGCAAGTGTGGACTAGGTTATTTTATTTACGTAGAGATTTACAGTGTCATGGACTTGCAACAAAAGTACTCATTTCTAAATATCTGTTCTGCGTTTGTTTCTTTAAAAACAAGAAATGTTTTCTTTTTGGATCACATGGTTTTTAAAAGAAAACTTTCATCCTGGTTGGAAATCACGAAGACAAGAGGCCAGCCACCCTAGAAACCTAGACGGCGATCTCCTGACCAGCTAGCTTAGTCTTGGCTTGTCGACTCCGTTAACTCAGTTAATTAGCTTTTCCAACCCAGCGTTCTCGTATTTACTAATTTATTAATTAATGCTTCATTCAACATCGCTGTCTGTAGCGTAGATTATTGAATAATGAGCAGTAATGTGGATCAACAACCCAGAAGTCAGCCGTCTTCTCGATTCGTAAATCTCTGTAGCACTTTTCGCCAGTTTTCCGAAGAAATTAAGACTGATAATAATTTGAACGATTAAACATAAATTCCGCCAGCCTCACCGACTGCCTTGCTCTGTTATCGTTGCTTTTAAAATGAATCTGCTGCACATTACAAATGTAAATAATGATCCCAACGCTAAAGAAGAGATTCAGTTTCATGATTGAAAGTTTAGTCTATATGTTTTACAATGGTGCTTACAAAATGTTATTGTCCTGTCGTAAATTCTTGTAGATAATTTTTACCTAAATATACAGCCGAGGATTTCCGCTACAAAGTTCCTCTGCTCGCCTGAAGATCTTATCGCTGGGAAAAGCAAACACGAACTGAGAGCGTCTGTCACGGAAGGACTCAAGTCCGAGGCCGCCTTTCTTTTAACATTTTCTAAAAATCCTGTGAGAGCCTCCCCCTCGATCCGCAGCGAGAGTACGCGCTGTGGTGCACAATGGGAGGTTACGGGCAGGGACACGGACCTCAGGCGTGATGTTGCGTCTTCTGCAGGGAATTTCTGTGGTGCCTGAAACTCTGGGAGTGAACGGTCGTGGCGGATCTTAAAGTATGTCAGCATCTGGGAGTTTCGGTGGGAGTCTGACAAAATCACTCAGCCAGGACGTATCGGGATTTGAACCACGTACCTCCGCTGGGGAGAGGTCAGTTTACAAAACTGATTTTGTGGCTTTTTCACAACTGATTGTTCCAGACCTCTAATTTGAGCAGCGTCGAATCGCAAAAATGAATTTGAAACTCGTGACTGCCGCGCCTCAATAAAAAAGCACTCATGGTCTCCAAGTGTGGGACGATCTGTGTCCATGTTCAGTGTGGAAACGAAGTTACAAGGGCTTTTCTATTTTGCGCCGCTGACAAGGTCCGATTTGGTCTCATGGCCACGACCACAAAGCGTGGCACATTGAACACGGACTGAGGCATTAAAAGCTGCTTTGCTATCAGTTTTGTTAAATTTCATGCTCTCTGATTCCTCCTTCCTTTATTTGTGTTTCTGGTAACCTTCGAATGTTTGCGATTCTTAATTTTGTGAAGTGCACGTTTGTCTGTCGCGTGTTGAAACTCTTCATCCACAAGTTTCCCTTCCACGAAATTCCTCACTCTGGGAACAAATAAAATACATTCTCACTTTGTTTTGCGTTCTGCCAGCTGCAAATGCAAATATTGAAATGCAAAACGCTAGGCGTTGTTTCGCGTGAAACTGTCATTTGGTGTCAGTGCGAGGGAAGAACACAGACGCGGGGGTCTGAGGAGAACAGGGCAATGAGAATGTTTTTGGCCTAAGAGGGGTCTGAGGAAAGCGAATGACTATAACGTGAGATTAAACGTTTTCACGACGGCAAAGATGCCCACGCTCCTTTGGGTGGATTTTGACGCCTTGATGACACATATGTGGATGCCAGTCTTTTGGAGAAACACGCTGTCTCCATCTTTAGGGTTGCAGTTTAGAAGCTTTAGAATTTGTAGTTTTTCGCAAGTATAGTTGGGGTGTGGGTGGCGCGTGTAGCACGGATGGACGAAATAAAATTTGTGCAAAATTTCGATCCGAGCTGAAATGCTATCCCCTCAGCTGGGAGGACAATATGGACCCGGATTTCAAATAAAAAGTGTGGCTCTGGGTAGGGACATTTTCTGTATGTGGAGTTACGTAACTTTTCTTCTCAACCGATTGCGTGCTGAGGTCGTTGTTGCAGCCAGGCCCCTGACGTAGGATGACGACATCGGCTTGCAGCGTGAATTGATTCATTTGGTTTCGTCACTGACGAGGAAGCCTATTATGAGGGTTTTTTTCTGATTCTTGGGAAGTGTGAACAATTTATTGCCTGTGTTAAACATTCAGAAACAACTGTTGTGCCATTGCATTCAGGTAACGCCTCGGTGTGCGTCACAAGCGATTACTAGAAATTCTTAAACGCGTTAGAATACCGCCTTTGTCACTTTTTGGCGTTGACAAAGAAAATCATTCATGTCGAATTATTGCAAAAATTAACATCTCGACTGTGTGTACGCGATGATGCAGTCCACGGGTTTCGGCCCGAACAGCGAGAACAGATAAGCAAGCAAAGACACTATTTGCACTAAAAGCGCACTCTGTTACTTTCGCAGTGACGTCATCGCTAGAACTTTATAGTTGGGTTTTAGTTCGAACTTACTTTCCGCATTCACAACCGGTGGGAATTATAGATTAAACAGCGTTGAATTTTGTTGATGAGGATGAACGTAAAATCTCCATTGAGCCTAAAATAAACACTGCTAACCGATTATTTCGTAAATCTTATCACCACCAATTCCTCACTTCAGTCCCGAAACACTGGAGTCATCGACACATTCACCGCCGTGGAAATCCCAAAACTTGAACAGTAATTTTGACTAATTAAGTTATTCTCTTTTTTATGTGCGAGATTCACGTATGATGGAAATCAAGTTTCAACACGTCTCGAACGAGATGATCTGAAAATATAATTTGCGGGGGTACGGGGGTGGCTCCTGGACTCAGGGCATGCCAGTGCCTTTTGAATTAAGATTACTCATCAGTAGAATTAAAAATCGTGTTTAACCGATAACTGGGTGAAAGCTGTGTACTAGTCGATTAATCGTATTTGTAATTACGTGTTACTCTGCGTAACCATTAGCAATTCAGTGTTCTAAGTTGCTTTCGGCCCGCAGGGAATGCGTCAGTGGAGGTATCGAAACGTCGTCATAAACCGAATATGGCTGTTTAAACGAGTTCATGGCTTCAGTCAAATTTAATCATACGTTTTATTTCGTGTTTTCGTCGACAACAAAGTTTTGCTGGTTGTTGTAATCTCCGTAGGAATCAGACGTGTTTTTTTAGTAAGTATCTGCGAAGATAAATCATGGCGAGATGTCTGCGTGGAACTGGTCCATCGCGGGTGTACGCAGCGTCGCAAGACACAACTCGGTTTAAAACAAGAGGTGGCCCAGTGGGGGTGTGCTATTTCTTTATTGGCATTGCCGTCATGATGTATCTAAATCTGTATGTACAAGTTGCCAGTTCATACAATTTTCCAGCTCTTTAAAACGCAGTGGTAACACGCCACTTAATTTAACGTCAGAAACTCAACATTTGCCCACAGAGTGTGGACTGCTTATGGTTGCGTTTCGTACGATTGGCAGCGATTATTTCTTCTGGGTTGTAGTCTGGTAGATGTTTTTTTATATCGGACTACACTGCGGGAGAATCTCAAATCCTGCTTTTCGATTATTGATTATTTCAGTAAACAGCGTTAAATAGTTGATTTTTGTATTGGTGAAGTGTTTTGTTTTCTTTGAGGTACGTATTGAATATTATTCAGTGAACTTGGAGATTCAGAGGGTATTGACTTTTCTGTGGCTTCCTAATGAAATTTCGGGCGTGAAATCTCAGTCGACCGAATCTCTCAAAATCTGACATCGTTGCAAGATTCGTATGGTTTACCTTCATGTTCAG